TAATAACTTTGTTAAATTGAAAAATGAACACAATTTAATGATATTCCTGTCCTTTATATATCATTGCCAAAAAATTAGGATGAATTTCGTAGTGTTGTCCTTCATTTGTTAGTGCCTAATATAGGATAGTGGAATAATTTTTTATTTTTTTTAACGTCAAAGATGTCCTGTGTAGCAGGAATGTTTCACTTTCTTCTTCAAAACATGAGTGCACAAACTTTGATCAGCGAGGACATTTTCATTCTCCTTCCTCTTTAGTCAACACGGATAATGAAAGAATTAAGGACAAATAACAGCTGAAGTAACAACTGAAAGGTTTCTAAACTTCAACTTAAGTGGTAAAAAAAGCAACCAAAATTCTATCAATTAGTTAAGTTGAATCATTAAAAGGGTGAGATTAAATATGTATATAAAAGAGTCGTCACATGCACAACCAAGAAAGTATGTTAAACCTAAGTACCCTCTTTTTAATGGTAGTATCAAATTGAGACATATATATTACACTTTACAAAAATATGATTAAAATTTTTTCAAATGTCAAACATTAGATTGAGACATATATATTACACTAGAATGTTTTTTAGACTTTCATTTATCTTATTTATAATTATCTAGACCACTATTTCGTCATACTTTATCAAGGAGAACTTTTCTTATCTCATAATTTTGATAATTATGTCTTATTATCCATATATCATTAAAATGTTATAAAGCACATCTGAATAACTTATATCTGACTTATTTTTCATTGTAAAAAATAAAAATTTATTATACCATATTATCTTTAAACAATTATTTTTATTCTAACATAAATTTTCTTATTCATATACTTCTTTCGTTTATTTTTATAAGTTATTTAGTAAAATCAATTAACAAAATATTTTAAACAAATTATTAAATCACTTAGATTCTCTAAAAAATTTAATTGAAAAAAAAAACTTTACTTGGACATTTTAGAAAGAGATGCTAAGAGATCAAATTCATAATCACAAAGAAGAGGCACAAATTTCCAAGAAAAGACAACACTTAACAAGACATGCACGCGGCACGCGGCAACTCTGACTTAGATACACAACCTCGTTAAGTGAGGTAACCAAGTAAATACCGTTATTTTCTTCTGACTTTTTCTTTCTTTTTCAATGAAACCAACACAAAAACAAGATCAAGAACACATTAAAATGGTTCAAACTATCAGTTGTAGTTACTAAGAACTGATATTTGCAGTGGAGAACCAACTGGAGAATGCTAAAGGAGTGCCAATCACACTTGGTCCCTCTCGCAAAGGTGGAGAATTAACATACATCACTTTCTAATCAAGTGTAATTGTAAGTCTCAACTTCAATAAGAAAAAGTTTAGGAAGTTTACTAACATATAAAGAAATATTATCTATTATGCAATTTTTTAAGATTTTTACTGAATATCTTAAGGTTTTGAACGAGAGTAGAGTTGGATTCATAAATAAGGAATTCATAAGTCAGCCAGTGAACTGGCCTAAGAATGAACAAAAAGATAAAGATAGAGGTAGTGGCAAGAATTCCACGTTCTTTGTTTCTATCACTTATTTCTACAGTATGGTCAAACTCAAATAATCAAGGTTAATCATAAAAAACACTAGCAGAGAATAAGTTAAGTAGTAAAAAGTTAATATAATTATACATTGAATGGTTATAAAATCACTTAATTTATGTTAATTCTAATATATTTTTCTCTTAATATAGGATGGATTCGAGAATACCTTGATACGAGAGTAAGGAGCATATTTGTCAACATAATTGGAGTGAAACTGGAAGAAGGAAGAAGATTTTCAGCATGGAAGTCACTCGAGCGAAATGGATTCTCGCTTTAGCGAATATCAGTTATTCTTCTCTGGAAGTCAGTCGCTCAAGCGCAAGAAAATTCGCTTGAGCGAATGTTAGTTATTCTTCTTTGGAGTTTACTCGCTCAAGCGAGTGTTTTGTCGCTTGAGCAAAAATAGGAAACTTTCGCTTGAGCGAAAATAGGAAACTTTCGCTTGAACAAAAGTTGTCGCTTGAGCGAAAGACGCGAGACCCAATTTTTCCTATAAAAATTGATATATGGAATTTAGAGCAGCAAATCTTGAATCTGCATATTTGAGATTATTTTCTTTTTCTTTGGCAGGTATAGGGTAAAGGAGTGGCTAAAGGCACATCTAATCAGATTTTGACTGATTGGAGTAATGTAGAAGAGAAGTTTCTGAATAGATTTTTTCCACCATCCCGCTACATCAAAGTAAAATCCGACATTACTTCTTTTAAACAAGGAGCAAATGAATCTTTTTATGAAGCATGAGAGAAATTTAAATCGCTGTTGAGAAGATGCCCAAATCATGAATTTGAAGATATTGCTCAATTGAATATTTTCTATACTGGCTTGCGACCTGATACAAAGATGTTATTAGATACAGTAGGAGGATCCATGTTAGATGCAGAAATCGAACATGCTACAAGAATTATTGATGTACTAGCCTTTATAGACCAACAGACCCAACATGATAGACATCCAACTCAAAAGAAAGGAATGTTTGAGCTTAATACTTCAGACGCTATGCTAGCTCAGAATAAAATTCTGACTAAACAGATGGAAGCATTGACTCAACAAATAGCGAAGCTACCTCAACAAATACATGATATTCAACCTTCTCCTGATCAACAATTCATGAAATGCGACTTGTGTGGATGTGATCATTCAAATGAACAATACTCTTATCAATGCAACATTCAACAAGAAGAAGCTAATTATATGGGTGATCAAGGTAGTAGTCAAGGCAGACAAGGTAATTTCCCTAATTCCAATAATTATCAGAATAATTTTTCACAAGGATGAAGAGGGAATCAGAATCATAATTAGAATTTTGGGTGGAAACAAGGTGTTAGCTCATCTATTAGACAACCTACATTTCAACAACAGTCATATCAGCAACCTTCATATCAACAACAACAACATTATCCTTCAATGTCTGGTAGAATGAGTAAATTGGAGGATACTTTAAAAAAATTTATGCAAAGCACTATGACTAATCAGAAAAATACTGAGGTTTCATTCAGAAATTTAGAGACCCAGATGGGTCAACTGGCTAAATAATTATCTGAGCAACAAGGAGGACAGTTTTCAGCTAACACACAAACCAATCCAAAGGAGCAATGTAAGTCAAACAAGGAGTGGTAAGGTTATAGGAGAATGGATTGGTGAGAACCTGGTTGTAGAGTAGGAAATCCTACAAGAAAAAAAGGATGAAAAGAAGAAAAATGAGTGTGAAGGAGAAAAAGAGAAAAATAAAAGTGAGAGCGTAGAAAAAGAAAAAAAAAATTGAAAAAGAACAAAAAAAATAAAAATAGTGAAAAAAAGAGGGAGAAAGATGAGAGTCAAATACCGCAATTAAAGGATTTACCATATCTTTGTCATCCTTATAAGAAAGATAAAGAAAGATAGTTTTCAAGATTCATGGATATTTTTAAGCATTTACAAATTGATATTTCATTTATGGAAGTCATGGAGCATATGCCGACTTATGCAAAATTCATGAAAGAGTTGTTAACTAAGAAAAGAAGATTTACTACAGAAACCGTGGAGCTAGAAGCAGGATGCAGCGCTATAATTCAGAAATCATTACCTCAAAAGTCAAAGGATCCTGGCAGTTTCACTATACCAGTCACAATTGGGATATTACAAGTAGGTAAGACATTATTTGATTTAGGTGCTAGTATAAATCAAATACCTTTGTCTATGCTTAAAAGAACATGAGACTTGGAAGTAAAGCCTACAAGAATGACACGCGAAAGACGTAGGACCCAATTTTTCCTATAAAAAGATAAAATGTGTTTTGAGAAAAGCAAGCGATTTTGGGGAGAAGAGGCATGACTACTACTAGGGTTTCGTCTAATCTTCATCAATTCTTCACTTCTTCCTCATTTGGAGCATTGTAATGGCTAACATGAGTGGTTAACTTCATTCTCTTGAGATTTGATGCACTTCCTTTGAACTCTTTTGTATCATGGTGATATTTTGAGATATTAATCTATGTTTTGATGTTGTTATTCTTATCATTTGTGCTTTGGAATGATTTATTCTTGAAGTTTGGGATATGATTGAAAATTATATATTGAACCCTAGATCATGGTAAGAATATTTGTTACGTTAATTGTTAGAAATAGAATGAATGTATCAATAGCTTAACACCCTAAACCTAATGCTGGAAAATCTCTTAATTGTATGAGGAATCAACATTTATTAGGTTTTCTTATGAACTTCATGCGTGAGGAATCAACATGGATGATTTGAGTAGGTGACATTAACATTGTTAGATTAATTGACGTTCTTAATTGACATAGTCATTATAAAGGAGGATAAGGAAGGAAATCAATCCTAAGTGTCTTTAATTGATCTTTTCTCAACAATTTACAATTCTTTGTCATTTAATTTCAATTAAACTCTTTATGCAAAACTCATTCTATTTTAATCCACTTAGTAAGCATATAATTGGGAATTTCCATTGAAATCGTTCCTCGTGGGATCGACTTTTATTTAATCAAAATACTATACTGTGATTGATAATTTTGATATGTTTGTCAATAATTAAACCATTTGTTTAACTTTAATTTCATAGTGTTACCATAAACTGTTTCTTCTATCATTTTTTTTTACACAACACTTTTAATTTTAGCTTAAGTGGTATTTGTTTTTTGTTTTTTTTTTTTTTTTGCTGTCACTAAAAGTTGTTTTTATCTCGAACATGATTTAGATAATATTTTGATAAATAAAACCAAGTTATTTGGATAATGTTTTTGAGACAAAATAAAGATAAAAAAATATTAAAGAAAAGACAAAATCTAATAAGTTATCATGATTAAAGATATAGTTAATTCATAAAGATCGAAACAAAAATAAAAATGAGAGATAGAATTGCAGTTTAGTTTTTTCTTACTCTGTTATGTATTCTGGTTTTGCTTTTCCGTGTTTGGTTTAAATTGAACGGCAATTATTACAAGGAAAAGTTGCGGTGCGGTGGAAGAGAAAGATGGCTCACCATTGCAACCAAAGGGGATGAGTACATTGCTATTGAAATCCCCAAGGGTATGCTACCCACAAGAAGCTTTCGGTGTCGATGATCGTGGAAGGAAAAAGATGATACGATAGCAATGATACAGAACAGTATACCAACTGGTACAGCTATCATGGCCACCTTCACCTGTCAAATTTCATTTCTTTCAGAAACCATGGAATAATTCTGCGAACCATGTATGGTGGTGAGAGGTTTTTACATAGCAATAAGTCACATGTTTCTTTTTACCTGAAGAAAGCATTGTAAGTTTATGACTGAAGTTAACATTTGACATACCCTTGTTGTGGGAAGAAATTTAATATATGAAGACTTGCATGCATGTATCAGTACACTTATGTTGCTTACGTTTTCAGCCTTTGGTGTATTTATTTGAGTGGAAGTTCTTCAAAATAATTTCTACTTAGACTTAGATCATAGATTTAGGTTTGACTTAGTCCACTGTGAAAATCATGCGAGGTGTGAAGTTTGGTAAGATTTTGAATGCATGAAGAGAAGAGGGTGGTGGACCAGGTATATATATATATATATATATATATATATATATATATATATATATATATATATATATATATATATATATATATATATATATATATATATATATATATAACTTGCCTTTCTCTTGGGTGAAGAAAACCATAGATAAATTAGAACATATGATAGCTCTAAGAGAATCCCATCTCCATTGAGTGTGACCAGAGGGGGAAATTTTCCCACTTGTTGCTTACAACAGGCAAACCATACCAAGTGAAAAGGAGACAGTTCATCAGTGCTATGATGTAAGGAATGCATGAAAATTCTTCTGTGCTTTTGTTCTTTATTTATCCCTTTTGAAGGTAACCCTGCACAAGTAGATCATTGGAAAAAGGCCAATGCTTCATTCATGATCACTAAAAAGGAGAAGGTGAGAGCAAGTATGGAATGTAATGTAACATACGTTGGTGGCATAGAGAGACAGACACTGATGCAACATTCCCTGCAAGGAACACTCAAATGAGTTACTTTTTTGCTAATGGTCAATAATGCGAAGAAGATAAGGAATAAATGAAGGAAGAAATACCAATAGCAGCTACAACCGTGCGAAGGGTCTCTGCCATGTTTAGTTCTTTACACTATTTCGAAAAGAGAGTATACGAAGGGTAAGCTATGTGTACACCATTGAATAGACTCCTGAGGATGCTCTTTTTATAAGATTTTGAAGCAAGGTTATAAGATTCGAGAGTACGTAGATTCAAGCTGAGTAGAGCTCGACTAGCGATTTGCGTGTCAAGGATGAACAAAAATGATGATAGTTAACGGTGGAAAAGGAATAATAACTTCGTTCAAATTAAACCAAATAATCCAAATAAGTGTCGTTTTTAACTTTTCATCTCACTTGTTCACACGTCTCAAACTCTCGAGCCTACAAATTTATGAGTTTACTTACTCGTGCCCTTAAAATAAACTCTTAAACTCGAGAGGATTTGAGTTAACCTAAAATTTGTTAACCATGCTTGGAGGGCACTATTCAAGACCAAGTGGCAGTGAAAATGTCACAGTAAAATGAGAATATGAAAAAAAAAATAACGAAAAACAAAAAGTAGATATATATACATAGTGGGAGAGAGTGTGTGGTGTCTGAGTCTTTAATAAACTTGTGGATGAGAACATTGTTGAAACTGTGAAGCTTTTCTCTCAACTCTTGCTGAATTCTACGGCTAATGTAAATTCCCTTTTGATTTGGCGTTCAAGGGTTAATATTGCAGCATAGCCAGCATATACAAACTGTGACAAGAGTGGTATAGATGCAGTAGATGTGCACCATCCCTTTTTGACAATTTTTCTGAGTCTCATTAAAATTTGAAGTAATCTAGAATATGTTGGATATGTAATGTTCCTTCTTTGGTTTTATGGGTATGACATAAGTGTCTCTCTCCTTTTCTTTTGATAAAGTATTAATAATATCAAATGGTTTTAAAATCAGACCAACAAATAAATTTAAAGTTTAAAAATTTAATAAAATAATTTTCATAACATAATAAATTTATTAATAATAATATTTTTTTTATAAAAAAATTAATTAAAATAATAATAAATATTATGATCTTTATAAATTATAATAAAAAATATAAATATAAAATAGATTAAAAATTGATAATAATAATAATAAAGTATTAAAAAAAGTTATATTTAAAAAAAACATTTTATCATAACTAATAATTCGATCTAAAAGTTTAATTGATTTTTTAAATTTTATATAAATTTAATTAAAATTTAATTATTTATAAATAATAAACGAGTTTTTATGTCAATTTTTTATTGAATGGATTAAATTGAAAAGGCCTTCAATTTTTAAAACCACAATAATACCGGTAACTCCTTAAAAACTCATTATTAAATGAAGTTCACTATCCCTGACAAGGCTTCCATTGTGAGAATTATTTGGAAGAAAATAAATGAAAATAAAAGTTATTGTCTAATAAAAAAGAAATATTATGAAAATAGAAATTGTAAAAATAATTTTTATGATTATTTAATTTTAAAAATTATTTTATTATTTATTGATATTAACCTTATTATTATTCATTTTATTATTAATACACTATTTTTATTATGAATGCTATTACTTTATTTAATAATGTCATTTAAATTCTAAAATTCGCCTTTTTCCGAATAGAAAAAGCATGAACCCTACTTTCATTTTTTCACATCTTTTTACTAATTTCTTTTCTATTAAATTATCTTATATTCATTTCACCCTTTTCCATCCTTCTGTATGACTGTTTCAGTGCACTGTGGATGATTGCTTCAGTGCTTTTGATTCTCATTATTCTTCCATGTCAGTGTAGGGTGTGACATTGTTTTATATGGTTTATTTGTAATTTTGATCTTGTTTGTCTTTTATCTTGAGTAATTTCCGATTTTTTGAAGAATTTTTTGTATGTATATTATATTTTTAATATTTTAATTATTTTATAATTTAACTATATTTTTAATCCCAAAATTTGACAAATAAATATTTTTTCCTCAAATTCATAAAATATGATTTTAATTTTAAAAATTAAATTTAAAGAACTCAAAACCATTTTAAAAAATATATTTTAATTTTAATTTTTGAAAATAAAAAATATTATATACAGAATAAACTATTTTATTAAATTATATTTTTATAAATATATTTATTAAAGTAATTGGTAAATATCAAATTTAATTGATAAAAAATGTTGTGATGTAACAGTAATTTAGTTATAAAAAAATTAAATTAAAAAATATATTTAGAGATTAATTATTTTAATTATATTTCGTAATGTTAATTATTAAATTTTTATATTGTATATTTTAATATATTAATTTTATATAATACTCTAAAATATTTCCAATAGTTTAAAATAAAAGAGCATAATTGAGTGAATGTGATATTTTTCATTATGTTGGTTAAAATATCTTGAAATATAGTAAATTTTATTATATTTAATGTAAAATTACTTATTTGATCGTTAATATTATATTTAAAAATCGTAACTTTTTTATATATATATATATATATATATATATATATATATATATATTATATTACCGTGTAGGATTAAAATATATGATTTTTAAATATAAGGAGCATAAGAACTTATAAAGTAATTAAAATTTATTCAAAAATATTAAAAAAAGAGTAAATATAATGAAGGAAAAAAAACTACATTAAAGATTATCAACTTGTATGTTGGCAGACAAATTGTTAGTTTTAAAAAATTAAAAAAAAAACTTATTTATAACTATTTTCTTAAAACAATTTTTAAAATATATTTTTATTATTTATTTTTTAAAATGAAAAAATTAATTGATACAAAATATTTTTAAATTTTCTATTTTATTAATAATATTAATAGTTTTATCAACAATTATATTAATTCACTAGTTTTTATTGTAGTGTATCATTGTCATTTGTAAAATTAAAATTATTAAACAATTTTGTTTTCAAACACAATTTTCTTAAAATTGAAAATTGATCTACAAACTGATTTTTAAAAACTAAAAACCAAGGCAATAGAAAAGGAAAGAACAAGAGATTATAGAATTGCATGGTTTATATTTTGTTATTCTCATTCACGCATCACCAAGAATTCTTTGAACCTTGGAACGAACAATATCCAGTATATGGAATACAAAACTCATCTGACCCAAAGGATTTTAAACAATTCAAATGCTGAACACTATTCCACTTCACTGCTCACAAAAGTGGGTTTATCTTGGATGATGATGGTGATGCCTCGCCAAAGGTTTTGTGCATGTTCCAAAACCAACATCAACAAATTCTAAACTTCTACCAAAAACATGTTTAAAACATCCATGCCACTAATTACAGCTTTCATAATTAAGATTCAAAACTCAATTACATGTAAAACGAAAACTGCATTTTTACCAATAAAATTGTTAAGGTTGTGATAATGTACCCAGCAAAGGGTTTCTGATGCTTGGTTCTGCACTTGCGATGCTGTGACTGGCAACAAGAATATTACCTAAGCCACTGTGTCAATTTTACAGCACCACTTTCTTTTGACTTCAATCACAGTAAACAGTGCAACTTTTTATGATGAACATTGCAAGGTTTGGGAACTCAAAAAGGAATATATTCTTAGCCAGTAGCTACCTTAAATCATTTTTAATATATTATTCGTGATTTTTTGTATTCTTAAGTGATTAAAAATTATTTCACATATAATTTTAAAAACAATTATTAAAATTTTTAATATATATATATATATATATATATATATATATATATATATATAATTTGTGTAAAAATGTAATATGTAACAATAAAATTGTTTGGAAGCAAATAAAATATATTACAAGAAGATATGTTTTCAAAATGTGCAAAAACATAACATGTAAATTTTAAAAAATATGTTTTCAAAATGTCTCGTAATAAATAAATAAAGTTAAAAGATATGAAAATAAATAAATTGTGTGGTTTACGTTTAGAGATGAAAAAAATGTTATTCTATATGTACCCTAAAAGTATATACATTGGATTTGATGAATAGTTACTTATTCGAAGATGAGCGTCAAATAAGTATTTATTATTAGATTTTAAAAAATAATTTGAAGATAAGTTATTATTTTATATTACTACATTTTAAAAATAAATAATAAAAAAAGTATATATATATATATATATATAATATTTTATGTGAATAACATTTTTTAAAGTTCAAATTTTTAAATAATTACGTTATAAAATGCTATGTTTACTGATTTACATTTAATTGGCTTAAAATTATATCTAGTCGATATTGTGTTTAAATATTTTGAATGTAGTGTAGGAGAGGTTTAATAACAAAATTATGCTTTATCTTATTATTTGGTTTTTAAATTAAGAAAAACGTGATATTACAAAACAAAACAATAATAATTGTAATAAATATTCTTTGTTTCTTTAACAGATTAATTTATTTATAACGTCATATTTTATTTAATACGTGAGTATATAATTTTTAATTTATTTGTAATGAAATTTTTCAAAATTTTATTTTACTGATTTTCATATATTTTTATATGTTAATTCTGTTGTTTCTGTTCTTATAAATTTGTTTATTTGATCTTTGAATGTAAGATTTTATTTTATTTTCACATGGGGTTCTTGTCCAAATTTGTAAAAGAAAAGAAAAGAAAAACGATGAAAAATTTTCAGTCAAAGAAAATAATAAAAGGTTATACATACTTACAATTCAAAATTAAATTTTATAATACAAATAATTGAAACTAAAAAAATTAAATTATACTCTCTAAAAACATATATTTAAAATTTAAGTTGTATAATTCTTAACTAATATATAATATAAGTAAACTAAAGTAACAATAATAATTTTAAATTTGTACAAGTCATTAATTTAATTAAAATATCTTACATAAAAAAATTATATAATTTAAATCTAAGAATAATTATATTAAATATATATTCTTGAATGAAAAATTTATAAAAAAATTTGACAAAGTATTATACAAAGAACATAAAAAGAACTTACATTAACGCTAAATATGTTGTGTAGTTTAATTATAATTCACTTAGGGTAAAGTTATTTTATATTTTCTTAAAAATATTACGGTACTTTACGTTAAAAATATAGTACATGAAACTTGATATCTACACCATTCATTGTATGTTAATCTAGAGCGTGTGCATGGATGCATTGTAAACACCACGCACACTGTATTTGACCCCACAAACTGATATCTACTAAGAACATAGAATATATTCCTAACCTCAAATAATAGAAACATTGTAACTCGTACTTTGTTACATATGTCAAACACAAAATCAACACACGCTTATTTGTCACATGCAAGGAAATGCATGAAAAATTGGAACTTGAATTTTCTTTTTTGTGCATGTAATAATGGATCAAAATTCACCACAAACGAACAACTTCCATGTGAATATGAACTTTGAAAGAGATAAAGACACTTGATTTGTCTCGATCAAGAAGGAGTTTATTCCAATCTTATCATTTTTTTTTTTAAGAAAATTATTCTTCTCTTGATGTATTTTATTATGCCTATTTTTTTCTTATCAAGATTCACCTAAATAAATTTTAGCTTAACACGTGACAGGGATGAAAAAAAAGAGAGATAAAAAGATGAAACCCTAGTTGCAAAAGGGAATAAAATTTTAACGGAGGAAAGGAAAATATCTTTGTGCTTTCTTCTGTTATTTGCAAATTACCTTCCAATTCCTTTTCTTTTCCAACTTCTGGGATTCTCTGTCTGCACAAACTGGTCTGCACCCAAAAAATGAAAATCTCATTTTGATGATGAAGTTGACTTTACATAGAAACCCATTATTTAATAATACTATTAAGATGAATCAGAAGCCACATTACAAGAACACATGCATTCATTCATCTCCATGTGTCTAAGTTGGAGTCACATACATCTGACACCTCTGTAGAAAGCAACATGTTATCGACAAATTAATATTATTTTTATTTATTTATTTATTATTATTATTATTATTAATTAATTAATTAATTAATATTGATAATACACATGGCATTTAACTTTGTTGGTATTTTCTTCAGAGTGTGTGTTAAATAGACCTAATCATGCAGCATTATGATTTAATTGATAAAATATGATAAAATAAAATGCATGTTGATATTATCCAACTTTTTTGCTTGTACTTACTGGATGTTGCTGGGAGTTGCTTATTCGGTGAACATGCACACGTCCACTTTTTCCTTTAATTTGGAAAACTTCAACTCCACCACAATTTACCCTATATTGATGATTGTTGTTTTTTCTAATTAAAATTGTATTTTTTTAATTGTATAATAAAAAATTAAAATATATATATTAATGATGAAAGAATTAAAGAAATTAAAACTATTAAAAATTATTTAAAAATTTAAAATATGTCTTACATTTTTATTTTTTTAAATAAATTAATCTGAGTTTATTAAAATTATTTTTTTATTTATTTTATTTATTTATTATAATATCTTATATAAGTTGTTATTTTTTGAATTATTATTAATTTTGAGAATAAATCTCACTTCGTTATTTTTTTTAAATATATTAATTTTTTTGTCTAAAAATTAAATTGACATTTTGTAAATAAGTCTTTATTCTTTTAAAATAAATCATTTAACATATAAAATCTCAGATACAATCCACTTATCATATTAAATCTTCTTATTAATCTCTACTAATCCAATAATAACAAAAACATTTAGGACAAGTTTAATATTTAACTTCATTGAATGAAATTTAAAGGGTGCAAACCGGTTAAGTTTGTGATTATGAAGTGTAGAAGAGAGTTACGTATGACCATGGTGTAATTTACAGATTTACTTTATTTACTTAGACTTATAAATGAAAACATGAAAAATGCTCACGGTAGGTCTTACAAAATTAACAAGAAAAATCTAGAAAAAACTCATTTCGTACAATATTTTATAAAATAAATTAATAGAAATTGTGCATAAAATATAACCAATTTTAGTAGTATCCAAAAAAATCCTTTGTATACATTTTCAAACAAATCACTTCATGTTAAGATCATTATAAAAAATAAAGGTTTAAGGTTGTTAAGATTGGATACAATATGTTATAAATGAACATGAAATGAAGCATCTAGGATATTAACTATTGCAAAAAGTCCACAAAAAGCAAGTCAAAAGCATTTTCACATATATATTTTGATATGTTCTCTGCAAAAACTTATAGGTTTCTTGAAAAGTCTTCCATAAACATGTCTAGAACCTCTTGCAAATAGAGAAACTCATCATGCAACCTTAAATATGTCATTACACAAACGTGATCTTCTCATATGACAAAGCATTAATATTTATTTTGTTGAAGGTGATAAGCTCTCAACTTCTCTAAATTTGTGAGTAGAACACGCCTTTACACGGTACTTGACAAAAGAAAGGTTTTTCCTTTTGTATAGATCCCAAGACCCTTTAAATCTTATTTCAAAATGTAGAATAACATGGTATCAAAATAAAGTAAATCAAAACATTTTCTAATAATAGAATATAAAAAAATAATAATAATTAAGCCTCAAATGAAAGGAAAGAGAAATCTTCATTTCTTAATGAAATGGGAAGGATTCAGGTTCAAATTTGTGTGGAGTATAGTGCAGTGGTCTAAGTTTCAAAAACATTTAGGACAATTTGTTCACATTTTTTGAGGTGCAGAACTAGATCTTCACTTATGAACTAAAGAGGGGTTGAATTGAATGGAAGAAATAGAAAAAGACTCAAACAAAATTGCAAATAATGGAAGAAAGTACAAAGAAAATTTCCTTTCCTCCATTAATATACATTCATTTTATTTTCTCACAGCATCAGTTTCATCTTTTTATCACATTTTGATTCTATCAGATGTTAAACTAAAGTTTAATCAGTTGAACCTTGACAAAACAAACAGCCATAATATTTAGAAGGAATAATTCTTTATTAGACAAAATGATAAGATTGAAATGGACTCCAGACTTAGGTTTCCTTCTTCAAGGAGACAAATAAATTATATCATAAGATCTTTATCCCTCTTCGATGTTTCAATTCACATACAAGCTGTTCTTTTTCTTGTGAATTTTCATCCATTATTTTGGTGAATATATAGCAGTTATTCTGCACATAAAAATCTGAGTTTCTTAGCAATCCCGTGTGACACATAAAAGTTTCGTTTATTTGGGATTAGGAACATATTCTATGTCCTCAATAGAATCACTTTGTGGGTTAAAACACACTGTGTGCTGCTGCAGATTCATCCATGGACCTCACAGAATATGCACATGTGAGGCATTCCCCCTGCTCCAGATTAATTACACAACCAATGGTGTAGATAAAAAAGTGGATATCAATATTGGTCAATTCTATTTCATTCTTTTTGTGTGTTTTTTAACCATCTTTGATCAGTTTTTTTTAACTTTCATCCATCTTTATTTTAATCATTTAATGAGTAACCAAAAATATATCCATCATTTATTATAGAATTATTTACCCTCTAAGAATGAGGGAGTAAATTAGAAGTAATATTCTTCTTGTCTATAATCACAAATCCAGAACCGAACACACATAAAGCATCATGTTGTACATAGTCTATGTCCTATAACAAATCATTTTGCTAAGTAATATTCTTCTTGCCTATAATCACAAATGCAGAACCAAACACACATGAAGCATCGCGCCACATACAGTCTATGTCCTATTATTGTACCACTTATCTTTGATGTTTAAGATATAAGAACGACCTAAAGCCAGCATTGTGTAGCAATAGAATTTGGCTAAAATGCAGCTAAATAATAATTGTAAATGGTGAACTTTCAAAGTTGTTTACATGGTTATCTCTCCATGATATGAAGCAAATAATAAAAAATGGTATGAAAAGGTGTTCCTTTACCTTTATATTATAGATATCAAGAAGCTCATGATCATAGTCTATTCACTAAATATGGTGTGTGTGATTTTACTACTCTAATTATATACGTGAATGATATTGTTTTGATTGGAGATTTTGTATATGAAATTGCTAGCATTAAACAAATATTCCATTCACGTTTAAAATTTTCATATAAGATCTTGATCTTTTGAAATATTTTCTAAACAGAGAGAGAGGTTGTTCATTTAGATACAGGATCTTCCTATCTCAGTGCAAATACTATATAGATCTGCTTAAACACTTTGTATGATAAGGTCCAAACCATGTTCTGCACCCATGGAATTAGCTACTAGTAAGTTATAATGGTTGAATGTTTTGCTTAAAAGATTTGAAATTTTCTTGTTCCAAACAAGTTGTTCTATATGCTACAAATTCTGTTTTTCATTACCTCATTAATGAGATATTGCAATATGGTTTTATGCCCTTAATCTTTATCTCATCTTCCAATCAACTAGTTGACAATTTCAACAAAAGCTCTCCCACCAAAGGTGTTCAACTTAAATTCATCCAAGATGAAGTTCATCAACATCTTCTTACCTTGTGGGGGCTAACAAATAAAACGTCCAATCTAACCCAAAACCAACATTGTGCAGCAACACAAAAAAGCCAAAATGCAGCTGAATAATAATTGTGAATAACTTAACTGTGTATAACTAGGAATCTCATAGAATTTGATGAGTTGTATAATAATTATTTGCTTGTACTATTTTGATAATCGTGCATAATTAGATTTTTTTTTTATCCCTTTTACCCCTTTAATGCTCACATTATGTTGGTTTAGTTATTAACTAGACTTGGGGCATTTTATATACATATTTGCTAGCAATAGAAGACAAACGAAGTGTGACAGTAATGAAAATATGATAGGATGGCACATCCCTCAGACAAGAAACAATGAAAAACTCTGCTCCATGGATGGTGATTGGTTTTTCCCCAATTGGTTTCTTAATACTTCAAGAAAAATATGTAAAAAAAAAAATACATTTCCTTTCTAAACAGTAAATTTTGATGCACCCCAATGAGCTTGATCCATGTCATGCCAAATAAATTATCATATCTTTAAAAATGGAAGCCACATCATCAAGAGGAGAGCAATTCACTTAGTACCATTTTTTTAAAGCATTATTGGTATTATTAATGCTTTACCAACAGAAAAGCAGAAGGCACTTATCAAATCAGACCCATAAAAACAAAGAATTTTAAATGACAGCAGGAATTTTGTCAAAAGTGGATGCTGCAAATCAAGTGCAATCTAATACTCTCGTATGAGTTAGTACCAACTATGTAGTCAGGCTGTACCGTAATATTAGCCCTTAATGAGGAAAACAAGTTGAGAGAAAATATTCTCAATTTGAACAAAGTTTTGCGTCCACAAGTTTATTGAAAGAAGCTCTCTCGTTGTTTTCCAATTTTTCTTTATATTCTGTTTTCATGTTCTTATTTTACTGTAATTTTTTAGCCGCCACTTGGCGGTTGAATAGTGCCCTCAAGAGCCTTATAAATAGGGCATTCTCAGGGTCTCTTCAGTTCAGTTGTGCACACAAACTTCATCTCATTTCATAAAAGGGTCAAGAACTAAACATGGCAGTAACCCTTCGTATGGTTGTTGCTGTTCTTGGTACTTCTTTGTTCCTTCATTCCTTAGCCTCTTAGTATCATTGATCCTAGTTTTTATCAAAAATAGTTTACCCTTTTGGGTGTTTCTTGCAGGGAATGTTGCCTCAATGTCTCTTTATGCTGCACCAACGTATGTTGCATTCCACCACTCCATACTAGTTTCACCTTCTCCTTTTAGTGATCATGAATAACTGACCTTATTCCCATTGTTTTACTTGTGCAGGGTTACCTTCAAAAGGGTTATAAGGAAGAAAAACACAGAGGAGTTTTCTTGCATTCCTTATATCATAGCACTGTTGAACAGTCTCCTTTACACTTGGTATGGATTGCCAATAGTAAGTAACAAGTGGGAAAATTTCCCTCTGGTCACAGTTAATGGAGTTGGGGCTCTCTTTGAGCTATCTTACGTTCTCATCTATTTCTGGTTTTCTTCTCCCAAAGGAAAGGTAATTTTTATTCATGATCTACCACACTCCTTCAAGACAAGTTATTTTCTTCATGTATAAAACATCTTTCTAAATCTTAAAGCCTATTTTAAATTTAAATCAAAGGATTAAAAACCAAAGCAACATCAATGATACATGCATGAAGTTTTCATTTTAATAAATTTCTTCGAAAAGCAAAGGGAATGGTCAAATATCAACTCTAGTTGCAAAAAAAATCTAACAAATACAAGAAATAGAAAGTAGAAAAAAGAAAACATATTATCAAATCAACCTTAGGCATCTAGAATATGGCTAATATAAATATTACACAATTTGATTTTTTCTTTTTTTAATTTTGTGTGTTTATGCTATTAATACTTTATTAACTTATCAGACTTTGTTCCATGTTTTTTATTTTAAATGAATGATGTGACTTAGCAATATGGATGAACACTATTGTTGTAAGAAATTACCCATTCCCCTTCCATTATTCATGGTTCACATAATCATATGGATTCTGAAACACATGAAATCTTACAGGTGAAGGTGGCCATGACAGCAGGAGCAGTTCTTACAGTGTTTGGTGTTATTGCCATTACATCAGCTTTTGCCTTCCCAGATCACCATCACCGAAAGCTTCTCGTGGGTAGCATAAGCTTGGGGGTTTCAATAGCACTATATGCATCGCCTTTGATTGCAATGGTGAGACATTCTGAAAAAAAAAAAAAAAAATATGGGATTTTTGTATGTAATATGTTGGGTTAAAACGAAACAGAGAATAGCACAAGCAAAACAGGGGAACAGAGTAGCTCCATCATGAAAAGAAAAAAAAAAGGAAAAGGGTTTTCACATGTTACATAACTTGGTTTTTTCCTTATTGCAGAAGAAAGTGATTGAAACCAAAAGTGTGGAATTCATGCCATTGCCTTTGTCTTTGAGCTCGTTGCTCACAAGTTTACTGTGGATGACTTATGGACTCCTCATTCGTGATATTTTCGTTGCGGTATATACCATTTTTTATTGTTTTCTTCCAAAATACTTTGGAAAAAAAAATACAAATACAACTTTCATAAAAATTATATTTTTCTATTTCTCTCTGAAACACTCTTTCTCACGCCCCATTTCATTAGAGTGATGTTGTGTTAATGTTGAACCTGTGACAGGGGCCAAATGTGGTTGGAACTCCATTGGGAATACTGCAGCTGGTTCTCCACTGCAAATACTGGAAGAGGAGACCCGCTGAAGATTCCAACAAGCAAAATGGGGATGCAGAGAAGGTGGACATGGAAATGGGACATGGTAAGACTGTTCTTAATAACTGAAACTCGTGACCTGCGACAACCTAGGTTCAACCATTTCCACTGCTTCTTCTTCTTCTCCGGTTCCAGTTTTTATGTTCTCTTCATAGGAAAAAAAAATGCATGTACTTTGTCGTCTTAGGTAGTTTATGAATTTTAATGAGGAGATTAACAGTTAATGTTGCAGCATTTATTTTAATAGAAGTTGTACTTAACAAAGTTTGACTACCATAATTGAAGTGAATTTAACAAAATAAATAAATTACTTGCATTAATTTTATCTGCTGTACAGTTTGATAATTATATTAGCAATTAGAAACATGTTATTTACAATACATTTTTAGTAATTAAATGTTATGCTGTTTCTTATTTCCAATTTTTTAAAATTGGTCAATTTAAAAAATATTCACCAACAATAGTAATTAAAAGTAGTAATTTTATAAATATGTAATTAAATGTAAAATAACACATAATATGTCATTTTAGTTAATAATTAATGATAATTGAATTATAATGTGTATACATAAAAATGTTCTTTGTGCTTTTTTAATTTACCTATTAGAATTTTCTTTTAAAATAAGTAATAGTAATAATTTCAAAATAATGTGGATTGTTTATGGATACGTGAATTTACAATACTCGTTGACCGAATGTTAATCCAATATTTAACTGAATTAATTATCAATAATGAATGTAAGTATTTAACAAATACATCATTATTCACCTGATAAAATGCAATGAAACTAACGATATTGAATTAGTATTTGATAGAATAATGAATAAATTATATATATATATATATATATATATATATGAAAAATTATACTTATTTTAAAAAAAGACTTACTCTGTATTTTATCATCTATTTCTTATAATCTAATAAATTACTATTTAAAAAATTAAATTAAAAAAATCTTCTTATTTTTTTTTTCAGATAAATAATATATATATATATATATATATATATATATATATATATATAAACTATTTATGCAATTATAGTCGTCAATAATTTCATTTAAATGTCATTAGCGATTAATGTAAAGTTGAAGATGCAATTAATGACTATAGTTTACTCATGCTTTTTCTACACTCAATATTCCAATATTTGCTAACTGAAGTTAATATAAGATTTTTTATTTAATGAATAATTATAGTATTGGCAATAGTATAATTTATTATACAATTTTGATAACTAAATATTAATTTAAATATTTTTAAGGTTAAGTAGTAATACTATAGTAATGATATAAACCAGTTAAAAAATAACTAATAATATTACCTGTTTGAGCCTGAAATATTTTTGTAAGGGTACTTCTCTTTTGTCATAAATAATAATAAAATGGTGATTTTTGCATGTATAAATTATTAATACAATATATATATATATATATAATATGATTAAATCATTAATTTTTTTTCTCATCTCATGGACACTTATTTTTTATTTTATAATTTTGTTCTTTTATAATTAATTTCTTATAAGTAACCCTTTTTTTTAAATCATACTTTAAAATAATTTTAAATATATTTATGAGTTTATTTTTCAATCATAATAATAATAATAATATATTTTAATTTATATCTTAAAAAATACATATTTAAAATAAAAGACATTCTTTAATATATTTTAAAATGTTTCCAATTAAAATAAATATTTAAATAATTATAAATAATTTATTTAGTTAATTAGATAATATTTGTTTATAATACAAGTTATAACATTTAATATTTTTAATAAATAATTAATTTTCCATTTTTAATACTTAATAAACTGGTCGATAATTTTTCACTATAAACGTTCATATTATTTATAATTTTAAAATATTTAAATATAAAATACGTATTTTATTTAGATCTAAACTAAAGTATACTAATATTTAAAATAAATCTTTAAAATTATTTTAGAGTAATATTTTTTCAAAAATTTAAGCATTTTTTTATTTTAAATAACATGTGAGGAATAAATTATGTTATTTTTTAAAATAAATTATTAAATATATTTTAAATTAATTTGAAGTATAATTTTTCAAAAAAATGTAATCAAAATTTTTTATTTTAGATCATTTGTAGGAAAATATTTAAAGAGAGAGAAAAACTAAGGGAAAAAAGTATTAGGTGAGAGAAAAGTATGATAATAAATGGAAGAGAGATAAAAGAGAGAGAAAATAAATGTTAAGTAAAATATAATTAAGTTGTATAATTTTAAATAGTTGTATGTAAATATGACATGTTAGGTGATTGTGTATATTAGAATTACTCATCAAATATTATCATCATGTGATATTAATAACTAGATAATCTTTAATTTATTATCAAATTGGCAATGATGATAAAGTTTTTGGTCTTTTAGCGATCACGTGCAAGAATTTTAAGAACAAGAAAAAAAACATACAGATATACCGTACGATGACAAATGGAGATCTAACTTAAGTGGGAGTTGCTTACAACATTCAAGAATAACTCCCTAGTTCAATCAAAAGAAGTGTCCATCAAGTTATGAAAATTTTATTTTATTTAAAATTTAGGTAAGTTAAAATTTTATATCGAAGAGAATGAAAAAAATTAAGTAATTTGTAATCGAGAATCAAGTGTAATGTAATATCTTAATATTGTATTTTGATGGAAAATTAATGAAGGATTATTATTTTAATAAAATATATTAAAATGTTTCGTGATAAAATTGATTGATTGAATAGGAAATTTGGAAAAGTAATTAAAAATCTACAAATTGATGAGAATATTTCTATTATTTAAAATAAGATAATTTTAAATTTCACCTAAAAAGAAAAAATTCAAATCTCTTAAAAAAGTATGTCTTTTCTTTTTATATTTTTTATTTGACTTAATCTCAATTAAAATATTTTTAACTATATATATATTGACTCATTTCAACACGAGCTGACTCAATTTGACCAAAATCAACATGACATGACCTGGACTCAACCCATCTTGACACGTTCTAACTATTTTGACTTGATCATTCTCGATTCAGTTCATCCTATATTGGTTTTATCCAACTTATTAAAACTTCACTTATCCAAACCTAATCTAACTCTTCTTCACTAGGTTTGATCAAACTAGTCAAAGTAGGTTTGATCCTCCCTCATGACCCAATCTATCTCAACTTGATTCATCTTGATCTAACATGATTTATCTTGATCTCACATCTTCTAGCTCGCCACATCTTATCTTAACTTGACCCAACCTATATAATCATGATCTGTCTTATTCAATTTCGACTTGATCTAACCATTTGGATCTAACTCAACTCAACATGTTATGATTCCTCCCCTCCAGCCTGAGTCATTCCAATATGACTTAACTCATCCCAACTTGTCAACCTAACAGTATTGACAAAACCTTCCTAACCTAGTATAATTTGATTTGATCAGACTCGTCTTACTAGTTTAGTCTATCTGAACCTCATTTGACTAAATCTGGTTTGTATGTAAATGAAGGTCACATAATTCACAATATAATAATGACAATTCTTATATTTGATAGGAATTAAAATACTTTTTCTAAAGAAGAAAATTAAATTTCAATAAATTTGAATTATTTTATCCAAATAAATCATTTAAAAATTAAATCATTTTAAATGAACACAATTCAAATTTAGTGTATTTGATTTTTTTTTAAATTTCAAAATACCTTCTCCAAACACAATATAAGATTTTGAGGTAAAAATATTATTATATTATGTTATATGATTGACCCATATTTTACTAGTAACAATCTTCGTATATTAATTCTTGAAAATACCAAACACATTTGACCCGAAACTAGTTCTTTTAGGCACGCTGGGTAACTCGAACCTCGTATCTTTGAGCTTTCGTTCTTGTGACCCAAGCATGATGTGTTTTATTTCGTTCATCTAGCTTCTTTTAGTTGTATTTGGGTTGAAGTACCCCTTTGTACTTCTATTAATTTTATTCTTTGTTGTCGATAAAAAATAAACCAAACACATTTATTATTAAATAATAATTTTATGAATTCAAGATAACATTTGTATAATTAACTTGTGTGTTATTTATAAAAATGTTCATATATTAATCTTTTGAAAATATCTAAGATCTTATATAGTCTTAATAATGTTAGGAAAATGAGAAATTTTATTTTATCCTACTTTACAAGACTTGATAATCTAAATATAAAATCAAATTAATTTTATAAATCATTTAAATTTAACAAGACAATCATCTTTACTTCTCCTTAAATTAATTAATTAAGTCTTAAAATATTTTAATTAAATGTATTTGTAATAAAAATATTTTTATCAAAATGAGTAATAATAAGTTAATTTGAGTGTTAAGTAAAAAAAAAAAAAGTCTTATTTACAGACTTTTAGTCAAAAGAGTTGATAAAAATTAATTATCTAAAATTTGGGTGCTACCTAAAATTCTCAATAATTATGATCAATAATACAAAATTTAGATTTTTTTTCAAGATTATATATATATAATCTTGTGAAGAAAAAAAATCTAATTTTTGTAAGTGACTTCTCCTACACTCAAACTTAAAACTTAATGTCTATATTATAATTACAGTCTAAAATAACTTTAAAAGCCTTCAAATTGAAAGTTGGCACAATGAAATATAAGTCTGTTTAATATTAATGATAACTCACTATTTTTAATCTTAATAATTGTCTTGTAAATAGGAAGGTATACTTAATATTATGATTTGTTTATTCATACATTTGTGTTATTATAATAATAACATTTTTAACTACAAATATATTAAAGTTGTAACGACTTTAGAAATCGCTATTATAATGATGTTTTTGCAAAATAATAAACAAGTAAATAACGACATCTATCTTATATTATATTACTGTAATTATAACATAGATTGAAATTCTGGTTCATTAACTGAACCTCAAAACATAGTAACATAATTTATTTATATATTATACATGTAAAAGTAGCTCTTACAAAGTTATCCCACTCGAACTATCCCTGTTGTCCAAGTAGTCACATTTCCACCTCTCAACTCCCGATCTGTTCCCATATAAAAGTGAT